TGTGATCCCTGTCAGAGCAGTCAGTGGTGGTAGGTGGGCCCCTCTAGTTGCACTGGACTCAGTCTGGTGGGGGCCTCTCCTACTTTTAAATCTAGGATATAGATTTGAAATAACTGGATCTGGAGTTGTAAGAAGAGAAGGAGACTTGGGTGTAGGATTCAATGACCTCAAAGGTCATCCAGTCCAACCTCCCACAGGAGGAAATGTGACAACCTATATTTCTCTGCTTGAGCAATTCCGGTAACATGCAGGTGCCGGCCCAGTGCTTACTCACTACCTCTGAGGCAACACAAGCTAATGTTAGATAGTGGAACTAGGTGACTGAAGTTGATAATGACTCTCCAAAGTTTAGCAAGGACATAGGGAGATGTTCATCCAGCAAAGACAGGTCAGTACATTCGATAAGCACTATATCACAAACATCTAAATATCTAGTACATCACAGTGAGAGATCCATTAGATGTAATAGATAAGAGAGGTCATGACTGTAGCTTTTTTTCACATGACCACTCAATAAACCAGCAGTTGGCTACATGAATGGAAATGCAGCCTAAGCTTCAAGCAGAATTCTAAACAGCAGAGTTGAAAAAGAGCTAGAAAATCTAAACAGAAATGTCCTGTCCCTTTCCAGTCACCATTCCACCCCACATAAGGAGAAAAGGACTCAAAATGACTTCCATAGGAATAAAAAAGAAAAGATTACAATCCCTATGATTCAATAGACTAAATAGTCTATTATACAAAAATTTCCCACATTTAATTAAAGACACCACAATATTCCCTCCCATCCTGGTTCTGGTTATCTAGTGTCTCAAGTTTGATAGCCAATCAACACTGATCAGATGGTTCTTAGATGATCCATAGAGATTTCACACGCACACATACACACAAAGATGTCCTTGACTGTGATGACCAGAAGTGTTTCTGTTATTTTAGTTTTATTCTTTCTCCATTCAGTATGGCAAGAAGAAAATAAAATACATCAACTAGGAAAAGCAGCACCTATACTACTAAACAGGTGAGCCTCCTTGGAGCCACATGCCATATATTCCATTTCCTCAAGGCAATCACTTGCCAAGCCAGAAGGCACGATTGCAATCCTGTCACAGAGAAACCAGCCCATGTCTTACTGTTACTGAGAAAAGCAGGATGACTTATTTCAGATCCACTGGGATGAGAATCTGAAAAGGAAAGTAGAGAGCACATAGGCATTTTTAACAGACTCTCATCACTCTGGGTCTCAGGCAGGGAAGGAGATGCTCCAAGAGGGGTGGAAGGCAGGATGCCAATCAAGAGATTCTGCATCCTGGACTCTTCCTATCAAACGGCTATCAAGGGAAAAGGAAATAGTGGAATAGCTGGGGAGGGATGAGGGATGGGAAAAGAATGCTGGAGCATTTACAATGTGATGCCAAAAAAGATGGAGGCCCAGGAATAAAAGGCACCTATAGATTTCTGGAGCCCTGGTGGCACAGTTGTTAAGAGCTCGGCTGCTAACCAAAAGGTTGGTAGTTCAAATCCTCCAGCCACTCCTTGGAAATTCTATGGGGCAGTTCTACTCTGTCCTATAGGGTCTCTATGAGTCAGCACTCAACAGCAACAGGTTTGGTTTTTGATTTTTTTTTTTAATTTTTTTTTTATTGTACTTTAGATGCAGGTTTATAGAACAAATAGTTTCTCATTAAACAGTTAGTACACGTATTTTTTTATGACATTGGTTAACAACCCCACATGTCAACACTCTCCCTTCTCGACCATAGGTTTGCTATTACCAGCTTTCCTGTCCCCTCTTGCCTTCTAGTCCTTGTTGTACCCCATTAGTCTCATTTTGTTTTATGAGCCTGTCTAATCTTTGGCTGAAGGGTGAACCTCGGGAGTTACTTCATTACTGAGCTAAAAGGGTGTCTAGGGGCCATACTCTCAGGGTTTATCCAGTCTCTGTCAGGCCGGTAAGTCTGGTCTTTTTGCGAGTTAGAATTTTACTCTACATTTTTTTTCAGCTCTGTCCAGGACCCTCTATTGTGATCCCTGTCAGAGAAGTCAGGGGTGGTAGCCGGACATCATCTAGCTGTACTGGACTCAGTCTGGTGGAGGCCATGGTAGTTGTAGTCCATTAGTCCTCTGGACTAATCTTTCCCTTGTATCTTGTTTTCTTCATTCTCTCTTTCTCCCGAAGGGGTGAGACCAGTGGAGTATCTTAGATGGCTGCTCATAGGCTTTTAAGACCCCAGACGCTACTCACCAAGTTAGAATGTAGAACTTTTTCTTTATAAACTGTTATGCCAGTTGAGCTAGATGTTCCCCAAGACCATGGTCCCCACAGCCCTCCGCCCAGCAATTCGGTCCCTCAGGGAGTCTGGATGTGTCTATGGAGCGTCGATGACCTTGCCTTTTACAAGTTGTGCTGGCTTCCACAGTATTGTGTATTATCTTACCCTTCACCAAAGTTACCACTTATCTATTGTCTATTTAGTATTCCCCCCCGCCACATCCCTCCCATCCCTCATAACCATCAAAAATTCTTTCTTTTTGTGTGTAAACCTTTTCATGAGTTTTTATAGTAGTGGTCTCATATAATATTTATCCTTTTGTGATTGACTTATTTCACTCAGCATAATGTCCTCCAGATTCATCCATGTTACAAGATGGGTCGCTATGAGTCAGAACTCAAAGGCAAGAGGTTAGGTTTTTTATTTTTATAGATATTCCATGTGGAAGAAATCTGACGGTTCCTCTGGCCTACATAAAGCTGTAGAAGATATTCTGGTGGACAGATATATAGATATATATACATACATATGTGTGTATATATATATACATTTAGGGGACAGATATATAATAACCCATTGCCATGGAGTAGATTTTGACTCATAGCGACCCTATTGGACAGAGCTGAACTGCCTTATAAGGTTTCCAAGGAGTGGCTGGCGGATTCAAACTGTTGACATTTTGGTTAGCAGCCACCAGCCACGCTCTTAACCACTGTGCCACCAGGGCTCCTGGACAGATACATATAATGGATCTGAATGTGGGCCCAGGGTTAAAAGAAAAATAGGGTATCTGAGTAGTTCGGATAACAATAAAAGAACATCATAAGCAAACAGGTGTTTCTCTTAACCAAGATCATGACAGCTGACAAGGAAAGATTTCAAGGAAACCCAAAATCTACTTGTCCAAAACATGCCTACACATTTGGGAAATAAACTAAAATCTGAGAAAGACCCAAACATTCCCTGTAAATTAGTAGTTCTCAACCAAGGGAACTTTGTTCCCCAGGAGACATTTGGCAAATTCTAGAAACATTTTTGGTTATCATAATGAAGTGGGAAGGGTGGTACTGGTATCCAATGGGTATAAGCCAGAGATGTTGCTAAACATCCTACAATACACAGGATAGCCCTAGCAGCAAAGAATTATCCAACCTAAAACGTCTATAGTGTTGAAGCTGAGAAACCCGCTGTAGATGATCTGTTTAGCTCAAGTGTTGGCTACCAGCGGCCACCTGTAACATGCCTGATGAAGACGGCCTGTGGGCCCACTTTTTGCAACGTGGTAGCCGACCACCTCTGCTGTCTTCCCACTGCTGGAGTCTGGCAACTATTATCCTGTACCAATCACCTACCCCTTTTCTTGCATGTCTGAAAAGAAGGATGAAGACATTGGTGGCTCATTTAGAAAGGCAGCTGATCCCCATCCGGCCTCCAAAAAGCAGTTGGAGTTTCTTTTCTGACCTTTCCTGAGAAGTATGTCTTTACCTCCCCTGTCTGTAGTGCAGGAATACGTCCTCAGCTCACAAAAGATGAATAAATGATGTGAGTTTGCTGTAAAATCCCCACCTTAAAGACCACACTGCCACCAAGCACTGTTTTATTTTGTGCTTTACCTTCAATTGCTAGCTTAGCATCTCAAGTTCAATTGAGTCATGCTCAAATCCAAAGGGTTTCCACAAGGTGCCTTTGTGCTGTAGGCAGCCTTGCTGGTCCTGGGGGAGAAACAGGGAACTAACTCTCTGGCCAGGAAATGACGTGACTTCTTTATTTCTGCTACCCTAACATATTGTAACAGAATCCAGTCCCCGGGAATGTGGGGATTGAAGGATCCCATGGCCCTTGAAAGGGCTTAAAAGCTAGTAGCAGAAGCTTTTCCAGACTCTCCATCAAGAATGATTCAAATTTTCAAAACTTCCCTAGCCCCCTCAATGGAGTTTGAACCTGGAGCTATAATCACTGAGCTTCCTGGCCTTTTTTGGGCCTAAGCAAATTTCTGGTTTAACCACAGAGACTCAGAAGACCCATGGGAGTCCAGAATGTGGTTCTGGGATACCCATTTTGTGTTCCTCCTCAAGGGCAACATTTCAGGGACGGCATGTTAAGGAGCTAGACTCTTGACATTCTTCTCATTCAGTCACCATCTCTTTCTGTTCTTTCTCAGTTGTGCTCCCCCTGTTCCTGTCTGTATATTTCCATGCAGTAGTAAACCTTCGAAGGTATTGGATGGTAAGTAACTTGGCTCATTCTCTGAAACCAAAGGCAGGTAGGAGAGGAGAAATGTAAATGCCTGGTCCCTTCCAGACATAGCTTCCTTGATTATCAGGGCCTAATATTTAGCCAGTATATGAAGACAGCCCACCCCATTGAAGGAAAATGAAACTGTATTCAGGTCATCTAACTTTCAAGTGTTTCTGTCTGTAGGATACGGCCTAGATCAGCAGCTTTTACATCCGCTATTTCATCACATTTGGCCCTTTCTATGGAATCGTCGGAATCGTGTTGCTCACATATTTTGTCAAGTAAGAAAGCAAGAATATTCTCTTATTCCCACAACCCAAGTAGTCCTCTAACCTTCCACATCAGAACTGTTTGTGACTAGCACGTATTATGACACCATGCTGAATTCCCTAGGACAGAGGCATTCCCAAGAAATATGAAAAAAAGTTGAAATAACTATAACTTCTTTTTTTTTTTCCAAATGTCCCCATTCCTCTACTCCACTTTAAAAAAATTTTTTTTAATCTGGATTAATCAAGGACAATATTGTGATTAGAATGGACTGCATAAAGCTGCCTTAGAACGGCTCTACAGTAGAGTGGCTGAATTGAGCTACATTCTAAATGACATGAATTACAATTTATTACAAATGGGTAAACTGAGAGACCTGGAGACAGACCTGATTAGTGCTAACTCTTCTGATTCTCATCCCAATGCTCTTTGCACACTGCCATGCTGTTCCTAAGTCACAGAATTATCCAAGCTGATAAGAGCTTGGAGATGGCCAAGGACAGTGCTTTTCAAACTTTAGTGTACTTTCTAGTCATTTGGGGGATCTTACTAAAATGTTTGTTCTAATTAAATAAGTCTGGGAAGGAGCATGAGATTCCACACTTCCCAGCTGATATTAATGCTGCTGGTCTAGAGGTCACACTCCAACTATCAAGAACCTAGGACTCAGTTTTAAAGTAATTTCCTTAAATTTTCATTATCCCTTTCAAATCAGTGGGGTGTACCAAAGTCAAGAGGGCCACTGGACCATATGACTTTAGGACCCACAGTACCTGGGGAAAATTAAGAAGTGTCTCTTGAAAGAGATTCAGCAAATATAAACCTCCTATCCCATCCTAGGACCTTCAACCATCAGATCTGAGGTGTTCCAACAAGGAAAGATAGCTTAGAAGATTCATGCCAAGCTTAGGTACAAGACGAACTCCTTGGAAGAAGAATTTGCCCAATCTCCATTTTTTTTCACTTGTTTGATTCCTAATTGCAGCATTCCAGCTGATCCTCAAGTCCTTTAAAATTGTAATCCATTTGAACAACATAACCCTTGCCAAAGATTATAAAAGGACAGGAATTTTTTTTAAGTTCTTTTATGACTAAGATTTTCACAAAATCTAAATGATTTTAGATCATCATTTGACTGAAGAACCTTATTCAACTTTCCAATTTACTCTTCCCTTATTCTGTTGCATTATTATTCTAAGTCTCAAAATCATAATAAAGATGATAACTAATATGCATCAGGCACTTTGCTAAAAGCTTACATGCATTATCTTACTTGATGTAATCCTCGCATAGCCCTGTAATGTAGATAACATCATCTTCACTTATCTTCTAAAGGAACTGAAGCTCAGAGAGATTAAGTCATTTGCCCAAGATTATAGAGCAAGCAAGGGCTAGTGCCAGTGCCACGACGGAACTTGAACCCAGATCTATCTGATGACAAAGTCCAGGCTGCCAACCACTTTGCATATACTTTTAATTTATTCTGGTATCTTTTTATCCTTGAACTAACACTACAGTGAACTTAGGAGACACCATTCCTATATTAGGTGACTGTGACTGCATGCCTAGCATGCCATCTCTAGTATACAAGGCCCCACAACTAACCTCCAAGTGAAAAAACAAGTGACCACCATTTTACTGGAAACTTTGAGTCCCTTTCATGACCTCTAATGCTCAACCAGCTCTGCCAGGGGTTATGCAAGCCCCGTAATAGACCTGAAACACTGCAAAGAGTCATCATTTCCTCCTTTTATTCCCTGAAAGTTTGCTTGAAAGTCTCTGGATTACATCTGTTATCTCTATGAACCACTTACCAATGAAAATGGTCCAAGAGGAGAACTGGGACTGGTTCAGCACTCAGGTAATGATGGAGTTCCTAGGGGAAGAGTCTTCAAATCATGCTGAGTCTGGTTACTTCAAATAATAACAACTCAACTTACCTGAATTCTTGCCAGGTACCAGGCACTGTCAAGTGCTTTGCATGATCTAGGCACTACCATTATGCCCACTTTAGAGATGATAAAATTGAGGCATGATGAGGTCGAGTAACCTACACAAGATCACACAGCTAGTAAGTGGCAGAGGCAGACAGGCTTTAAATCTAGGTAATTCAATATCAGAGCCTTTGCTATAAACCAGGGGTTAACAAACTACAGCCCAAGGCCAAATCCAGCCCATTGCCTGTTTTTGTAAATAAAGTTTTATTGGAACACAGTCATGCTCATTTATTTATGTATTATCTATGGTTGCCTCCATGCTACAAGGGCAGAGTTGAATAGCTATAACAGTCACCTAAAATATTTATCTGATACTTGAAAGGTTTGCTGACTCCTGTTCTAAACCTCCATGTGACACAGTCTTTGAAGTGAATCTGAGGCTCCTAGAATTACAGAATGAATTTTATAGCTGGAAATCATCTCATTTCATTGTATATATAGACAGCGCCAAAGAGGGGACATGGTATGCTCTCCAAACATGCTGTTAATGCTTAGCAGGACTGTGACCATCACAGAACACCCCTTAAGTCAATGTCCGTCCCATTGGCCATGTATGCTTAACAGAAGACTCAGTCATTATCCTGCATCCTCATACTCAAACTCAGTGGTTCCCAAACTTTTTGGTCAGGGGATCACTTGATGCTCCTAAAATTTATTGACAATCTCAAAAACTTTTTGTTTATGTTGGCTATATACATTAATATTTACTTGAAATTAAAACTAATCAATTTTAAAATATTTGTTAATTCACTTTAAAATAATAAGAGTAAAACCAATACATATGAACACCAGAGTGATGACATCATCACAGGCTTAATAGCCTCTGGAAAATTCCACTGTAAAAGCATAAGAGAATCAGAATGAAAAGGGCAAATGATGTCTTCAAATATTATGAAAATAGTTTTGACTTTGCAGATCCCCTGAAGGTGCACTGAGGAACTCCAATACTCTGTGAACCATACTTTGAGAAACATTGGCATAAAACAACCACAAAAATAGCATTTGAAATCGCAACAACTTCAAATTTCAGGCTAGAATTAAGCCTTAGAAAGGTATTCAATACAATTACATCAGTGACGGTTTTTAATCTTTTTCGTGTAATGAACCCCCTTGGCAATCTGAAGAAGCCTACATGAACTCCTTTCTCAGGAAAACATAATCCATAAGATTACAAAGGAAGCAACTTATACTGAAATACACTTCTATCCACAGAGCACTTGATTAGACCCTTGAATGCCTTACTCCTCACTTAGAAGTCCACTCTATGGGGTTGGTATTCTAACCCTTACAATCCCATTTACACTCACCAAAACCCTGTCAAACACCCAGTCCTCACAACACCTTAGTCCTCCATATCCAAGGGTTAATAATGGCTTAGTCCGCTCAAATCCTACATACTCTTTCATGTCTATTGCTTTGTATGGACATCTTAGCAAAATGTCTTATTGACCTTTTAAATTGTAAGCTCCTTGAGACCTAGGACTGTGTGTCTTTTATATATCTTATAGTGTCTTATACAAAATAGGTCCTCAATAAGCATTTGTTGAATGATTGACTAAATAAAAGAATATTTTCTTTGCTAGACACTTGGGCTCATTTACATCTAATGTAAGAATTTTTCTTTGCAGGTCTTGACCCCCTATAATGTTGAACAGTCCTTTTTCAACAACTGGTTCACTGGGCACCTGAACTTCCAAACTGAGCACCAGTGAGTGAAATAGAAATAGTCCATGATATGGGGCAAGGGCAGTCACTTATAACAGTTCCCCATAAAGGCCAGAGCAAGACCCTGGGCTCAGGATCTGAGAGGGAACAAACAGGATTCTCCAAAGGCTACCATTTTTCTGGAGCCCTGGTGGTGTAGTAGTTAAGAGCTTGGCTGCTAACCAAAAGGTCGGCAGTTCAAATCCACCAGCTGCTCCTTGGAAACCCTATGGGGCAATTCTACTCTGTCCTATAGGGTCGTTATGAGTTGGAACTGACTCGATGGCACACAACAACAGCCATCTTTCTATAAGGTTCAGTGGTAAGGGAAGGAGGAAAAAAAGGAAGGAAACATGACAATTGTTAGTAAATGGAGTGGAATCATGGAAAAGTACCAGTGACTCAGTTGTCAGATTCCTATAAGCTTAGAAATTGGTAATTGTTTTCTTTGCATTTGTTTTGTTGGCAAAATTCAGGAAAAATCATACTACTAGGATACCCAAGTTGTGTTGAAACTTAATTATTTAATTTAAATATCTATCTCTTTAGAGCCAAGGTAACAAAATAATCAACAAGGAAATCCAGTCCCTGCTGCAATTTCCAAATGGTATCTGGAAGTAATTTACCAATGAGTTAGTTAGGTGGACATCCTATAGAAAGAGAAAAAGATAATACTTTGAAAGTCAATCTGTCCAGAATATTCCAGGGAGAACCTTTCTCCATACTCTTTACTTAAGCCATTTTTGGAATACAAGTAGTCCCTGATTTATGACGGGGCTCCTTTCCAACAACTCCATTGTAAGTTGGTTCTGACGTAAGTTGAATACCTCTTTTTTTGTTTTGTTTTTTTAAGTTTTCATAGCCTGCTTTATAGCAGTGTTTTGAACAGTAAATCATAACATTAACCATCTGCGAGTGAACATCTGAGAATGATGACATGAGAAAATTATGCACTGCAACATTGCAGGTAGTGCATATTACTAATGATAAGATGTACAAAAAAATTTTTAAAGACTATTATAAGTGCCATTCATCATAACTTGAATACATCATAAGTCAGGGACTACTTATATTCAGAGAAAAAAGAGATATAGTATAACTAATCTCGGGATTTTCTCATCCTTTCATATTGTCCTTTAAAACCTCAGCAAAACACAAAAGGATTATTATTCATATTTTATCAAAGAGGAAGTTAACCCAAGGAGGTCACCTGAAAACCTTGAATGAGAACCCACATCTCTTTACTTCTTATTCCTTATTCTTGGGACTTTTCCCATATACAAGCGCTAAAACTTGTTGAATACTCATCTATTCATGGGGTAGGAGTCTAATGGAAAGAGAGATACCTCCAGTTGTCCTAAGTAACTCAAAATTATAGACAACATCATACCCTTTATTTGGCTTGGCCAAAAATAAACGTATTTAATGGGGCTAATATTTACTCTCTTACATTTCCCAAACACTTGTCACCCACATGGTTCACAGAGGTGTTAGGTGATAAGAATGTTTTGGCAAGAGTTTTTGAACTTCCCAGAAAAGAAGTATTGTGCAAGGTCACAGTTGGGTCTGCATTATCGATATAGTTGTATTTGGTAATAAAAGAAAGAAAACTCCTTTCCTTTATCTTAGCTCTAAGTTTTATATCTCCTTATCTCGACATTCCTAGTCTGTTCCCCACAATGCCATGCCATAATTATCACAAGGTGGCACCACTGGTGAGGTCGCTCTGGGCCAAGCACGGATTGCAGTATGTGAAAAAGCCCATGTTGGAGGCGTTTAGAGATATTATCAGGTAATAACATATTCTTTCTCAGCTCACAGCTCTCATTTCCCTTCACTGATGATCCCCAGACTGTTCATTCGTTTTTCAATTATTCATCCAACAACCATTTAAGAGGCACCTGTATGCCCATCCTGGACACAAGCTTCTACGAGGAACAATGTCAACAGCAATGTTAATACTCACCATTTATCTACCACCTTGTAGATACCTCTTACCAAAAATACCTTATTGCCCTGCTAAATTGTAAGCTGCTCAAAACCAGGGCTGTGTATTATTTGTCATTGTGTCCTTGACAGCACATTATACAGGCTTTTGAACTTAAATGGTAGGAGGAACTCTCAAATCCCAAATCATCAAGTCCAGGGTTGCAAACTTAGATTCTATAGGGCATGATGGGACATAAAAGTATCAATTTAACTGGGATGACTGACCAAGAGTGATGGGGCCCACAGGAACTGAAATCCATGCTCATACTTAAAGCATTCACATCCAATTTCCTAAAGAACATCACGCTGGTCAAATTAACAGTCAGTGGCCTGGGTTCAAAGGTTCCTGGCTGGCACAAATGGTTTGCACTTGTCTATGAACCTAAAAGTTAGCAGTTCAAACAGTGGTGCCAAGGAAGAAAGGCCAGTGATCTGCTTTCATAAAGATTGCAGCCAAAGGAGTCCCTGAGTGGCACAAAAGGTAAAGTGCTTGAATACTAGCCAAAAGGTTGGCGGTTCAAATCCACCCAGAGGTACCTCTGAAGACAGGCCTAGCAATCTGCCTCCAAAAGGTCACAGCGTTGAAAACCCTATGGAGTGCAGGTCTACTCTGTACACATGAAGTCATCATGAGTTAGAATCAACCCAACATCAACAAGAACAATGAGAAGTGCATCTAGCACCTGGTTGGCACTCAGTAAATGTCTATCAAAGCGATGAATGAGAGAAAGAAAGATTACAGTCAATAAAACCCCATGAAGCAGTTCTACTCTGTAACACAGTAAATGTCTATCAAAGCGATGAATGAGAGAAAGAAAGATTACAGTCAATAAAACCCCATGAAGCAGTTCTACTCTGTAACACATGAGGTCACCGTGAGTCAGAACTGACTCGATGGCAATGCATTTTTTTATTTTTAGTTTTTGGGGGGTGTGGGCCTGGGTTCAACACTTTCTCTTGCTTTTAAGTTTGGGGGCAGGGATACAGAATCTTGAATGAAGCCAACAAGGCCAGGCCTGATCTGATTTCATTTCCCCAGTGCCCCAGCTTCAGACTCACCATCTCTTCCCTCCACCCTCCCTGCCCTCCAGACATCTGGCCTCCCTCCCTTCGGCTGCTATAAAAACTCCTTGCCCCTTGTCATCTTTTCTTCTGCCTGGAATGTTCTTCCAAACCACCACCTGTCCCCACATCACCTTGTCAATTCCCATTCACTCTTCAAGGCTCGTCTCAAAAGACTTTCCTTCATGTAAGTCTTCCCTGACACCCAAGACGAAACCTGTTGCATGCTCCTAGTTCTCTTCATTCATGACCTTTATCACAATAATGCTTAAATAATATGTTGGGTTATAAATTATTTAATATGTGTCTCCCAAGCTAGACCAGGAACTCCATGTGTATAGGGTTCGTGTCTGTCCGGTTCATTGTAGTATCCCCAGAGCCTAGAAAAATATCTTTAATATTATAAAATAGTATGGGTATGTGGTTATAGGATGGATTGATATACAGGTATATGCATTACTTTATAGACTCAGAGAAGTTTGTTTGTTTTAATAGTAGAGAAAAGATTAAAATGATGGTTTGTAGTACAGGAAACAATAAAATGAAGGAAAAACACAATCTCCTACATAAGGAAAAGGTGAACTCACCTGTTAAAAACAATTGAGTGTATTTGACTCCCTCCACTAGAAGACAGAGGAAGACATTTATCAAATATAACTAAAAATGACAACATTGCCCTGAACCGGGTAGAGAAGCAAATGTCCCATGGAGAAGCTTCTTCTACATCAGTCTCATGTCCTGATGATTCTACTTACTCTTCCCACAGGACCTTTAAGAAATATGGAGCTCTCTGGGTGAAGGCCTATTATGAGAAATGATGAAGAAAGTCAACTTTGGCATGCATGAGACTGTATCTAAGAAGGGGGTAGGTGAATGTGCAAGAGCTCTTCCCTGCTTACTATTGCATTGACACATATGAGTATACCAGGAGCATGAATCCAGAAGACATGATAACTCGTTCCCTGCAGGTCTTCTCTGTAGATAAGAAGCAGAGGAAACACAAAATGATTTTAGCCAGAGCAGCAAAGGGGAAGTGGGGTTCCAGTGATTTTATTTTTTCATTGTGATCTTGAACTTAATCCTACAAAGAGACCTAGTTGTACTGATTAAGTGGACATAGGAAGAAGTGGGCCAAAGAAGAGACGTCTGATGGGGTACTTTAGAAAACAGTGTAATTGATCTTAGAAGAAAATCATGGTGTGTAAGAAGTAGCTGTAGAAATACAAATTTTTGTCAATTTCCTTTTAAATACACAAAATTTTTCTATAAAAATTGAAAATAATGAACATTAAAATCTCTTTAAATATCTCAATTTCATTCACATTTTGTTATTCTACCTGCATATGTCTAATTAGTGTGTATACATTTTGTTTCCAAGTGGAGAAATTAAAATTTCTATAAAATCTCTTCAAGGAACTTCCTACCTCCAGTCTCAATAGCAACTGATCAAGCAGGTTAAGGTTTATATTTAAAGGGTGTCCTGTGTTCCACTAAGAAATAGACTGTCCTGAGTATAAGATTTTGTTGTTCACTCCCTACCCATCAGAGCAGAACTACCATACCTCATTGGATGGCCCCGATGAAAGAAAGAGTTTTGTTTTCTATAATGTACCAAGCTGTGTAAAGCCATTATTCTAGCTTGGCACTAGATGAAACATGTCTTAAGATGAGAGAAAAGAGGGACAAGTGGGAGAACTCCCCCCTTTCATGCAGGAATACCAGGTTCGATTCCCAGTCAATGCACCTGATGCATAGCCACCACCCAGCTTGCATGTCGCTATGGTGCTGAACAGGTTTCACTGGAGCTTCCAGGCAAAGATGGACTAGGAAGAAAGGCCCAGTGATCTACTTACAAAAATCAGCCAATGAAAACCCTACGGCTCACATGGTCTGATCTGCAACTGATCATGGGATGGTACAGGACAAGACATCGTTTCATTCCTTTGTGCATGGGGTCTTCATGAGCTGGTGCCAACCCGACGGCAATAACAACTAGGATGAGAGAGTACTTTCCCCAATACCAGTGCTAGAAGGACTAGTGGATACACTAAGTGCCATGCTTATCTCTAGTATGTGTGTCCTTTCTCAACTATTCACGGAAGACATGGTTAAAGCCGACCTTAGCTGCAGTGAGTAAAAGCACAACAAAACAGGCCTCCACTCGCAGCCCCAAGCAAATCACCACTATTGATTTATCTCTGTTGTCTGAAATTCTACCAATAAGCATTAGTTCTTTAACTCCAAAATCTCTCAAAACCATGTTTGTTTGTTTGGTGTTGATGAAATCCCCAATGAAAGATACCACATGGAATCACTCACAATTCCTGGGGAACTAAACCAAACTCAAGCCAAACCCACTGCTGCCAAGTCGATTCTGACTCTTAGCGACCCTGTAGGACAGAGTAGAACTGCCCCACGAAATTTCCAAGGCTGTAAATCTTTACGGAAGCAGACAGTCATATCTTTCTCCCATGGAGCAGCTAGTGGGATCAAATCACTGCCCTTTCAGTTGGCAGTAGAGTGCTTAACCACTGTGCCATCAGGGCTCCTTCCTGGGGAACTAGTCATGTCAAAGCTAAGAAAACAAGAATTGATTGCCTGGGAGGAAGGGGCTTTGAAATGGTAATAATATTAAATAAGGAAGAATCAGGTAGGAGATGAAAATGATGGAAAGTTCTGTTGACTTGATGATGCTTCATATGATGAGCCCTGGATGGATGTGACGAGAGCCCGCATCCCTGCTGGTGGATCTATAGATGGTTTCTCCTGCCTAAAATGGGGGTTGCGAGTGGGAGTGGGGTACAAGGGTTGTTTCTCTATGACTCACCTGATCCAACTCCCAGACTTTAGACCCAAAGAGATGCTCTAGTACTGTTTATTGTCCCGGTCACTAGAAAGAGCACCCAGGACTCTCCCTGGACAAGATTTCTACCTCAAAGGCACTTTACTTCAGTGTCAAAACTAGCCTACTTTGTAGCTCCCCAAATGGAGTTGCTTACTGGGTAACTTTGGAAAATTTAGGCAGCTCACATAGGGGAAACATGTGAAATCAGTTCATAAAATGGTCTAGGTAAGAACTAAAGTTTACTCCATCCGTAAACATTCAGTGATGAATGGCTTCATGAGTTTGCTGTTCAATAAACCATCACTTTCCTGAATTCACTATCTCAACTGATTTTTCTTTCTCATTCTGTGGTGATGAGTATTTGTACTTGGTGAGGTATGAAGCTGTGTATTTATATTGCTTGTTCAGTAGATTTTCCAGCAGAGGGAAACCAAGGCCTTCCTTGCACAACTGAACTGCTTTTCACAACTCCCCAGACTATGAGCACCTAGCTAGAATTTAGACAATTTATCCTGCAGATCATTTCATTTCTGCCTTTTGTGCTACAGGGCTCTGCTCCATGATGTCCCTGGGTGGAACAAACTGTTAAGCCTTGAGCTGCTAACCAAAAGATGACATTTTGAGTTCACCCAGAGATGCCTCAGAAAAAAGGCCTAGCAATCAACTTCTGAAAAATCAACCATTGAAAACCCCATGGAGCTTAGCTCTACTCTCACACACAAGGTGTCATCATGAGTGAGAATCCACTCAACAGCAGCTAGCAGGAGGAGGAGGAGGAGGAGGAAGAGTAATCATCCCCACTCCAGTGTTTTTAAATGGCTCCTAAAAGCTATGTTACAGCCCTACCCAAACTCTTCAACGGCCCCTCATGGCCCTTGGAATAAACATCAAATCCTAACATGCTGACAGGCTTTGCCTGACTGTCCCTTTCCTGTGCCCTGCTCCCCCCTGTACCACCCCTGCTCCGCCTGTACCATCCCTGCTCCCCTGTACCACCCCTACTCCCCTGTACCTCCCCTGCTTCCCCTGTACCGCCCCTGCTCCCCTGTACCACTCCTATTCTCCCATACCACCCCTACTCCCCAGTACCTCCTCTGCTCTCCCTCTACCACCCATGCTGCCCCGTACCACCCCTGCTCCCCCGTACCACCCCTGCTCCCCCGTACCACCCCCGCTCCCCTGTAGTACCCCTGCTCCCCTGTACATCCCTGCTCACCTGTACCACCCCTGCTCACCTGTACCACCCCTGCTCACCTGTAACATCCCTGCTCACCTGTACCATCTCTGCTCACCTGTACCACCTCTGCCTCTGCTCCCTAAGCTTCAGCCTCCCTAATTTCTTTCAAGTCACCACACTCCCTTCTACCACAGGGTCTTTGCTCCTGATCCCAGTGTCTTAACCACTCTGTCAATCTCCCTGCCCCCACTCCTTCTCACCTGCTTAGCTGCCACTCACCCCGTATCTCAGCACCATTATCAGGTCCTCAAGGAAGATTTACCTCACTCCCCAGACTGAGTTGAGGACCCCATGGTATGCTCCGTAGCAATTACCACAAGTAAAATTTTGCATTCATTTCTGTGGTTCCTTAATTTATTGTTTGTCTTCCCCTCTAGCCTGCAATAACCATATCTTATAATAATGTAACATACCAGATATGTTAGAAACACTCAGTAAAGATGTGCTGAGTAAGGGATAGTAGGGAGGAAGGGAGGAAGAAAGAGGGGAAACGAACGAAAGAAAGAAAAAGAAGGTAAAGGAAGGAAGGGAAGAGAGGAGAGGAGAGGAAGAAAAGAAACAAAGAAATAGATGGTAATTCTAAGGGGCTACAACTAAAGAAGGAGCCCAGGTAGCACAATGGTTTGCCATCCCAAAGGTTGGTGGTTCAAACTCACCCAGCAGCAGAGTGGAAGAAAGGCCTGGTGATCTACTCCTGTAAAGATTACAGCCAAGAAAACCCTATGGAGTGGTTCTACTCTGTAACACACAGCGTCACCATGACACTGACTCAACGGCATTTAACAGTAACAACTAAAGAGCTTCCTTGGTCTCTCCCATGGAAATCCACCCTTATTTTTAACAACTCACTAGGAAATTTCTCCTGATCCTTATTTTTCACTGCTGTAGCTTAAGTTTATACTCTATAGCTAGCAAACCATCTAAAGTTTTCTTACTGCAAGATTTTTCTGATTCCAAAAATATGGCATAGTAGCTAATTAGATAGAAAGATAAATGCATCAAATATATGGGATGTACCTCTGTATTCTAACTCTAGATTTTTAAAGTTATTAACAATATTTATGAACATCTACCAAGAAATAAAGAGCCCTGGGGTCACAATGGTTAAGCACTTGGCTTCTAATCCTAAAGTCAGAGGTTCGAACCCACCCGCCACTCCTCAGGAGAAAAGATGTGGCAGAATGCTTCTGTAAAGATTACAGCCTTGAAAACATTATGGGACAGTTCTACTATGTCTTACATGGTCGCTATGAGTCGAAATCCACTCGATGGCAATGGGTTTGGGTTTGGTTTTGATTTTGGTTTTGGACCAAGCAATAAATACTGTGCTACTTTGTGGCCTTTACCCCCATTTAATCCCCACAACAGCCCCATGAGGAGATGTTATAATTAATCTCATTTTAGAGATGGAAAAGCTGAGTCTTAAGGTGGCCCAGCAACTTGCCTGAAGCCACAGTTAGGAAAGTGGTGGAGTCAAGGTTCAGATCCAGAGCTTTCTGCCAGGAAGTCCAAAGCAAAGGGAGATTAAGTGGCATTAGAAGACATAGGCAGTTGGCATTTTTGGGATATCTCTAACAGCGTCCCAGGAGCTGATGGAATGAACATTAGGGAAGTTAACTTTCCACTCTAGAGAGCAGGCACCTGGGGAGCAGAAGGCAGGAGGAGCGTGTGACAGGCAGGGCACTGATCCGGTTGACCAATTCTGCTCAACTTCTACTCAACAATCACTAAAAAAG